CTCTAAGTAGCAGTGATTCTGGTTTTTTTTCAAGGTTTTTGATTAAAGAATCACAAGTGCCAATCAGTTGCTTGATTTTCTCCTTGAGCATATTAACGTCTGCTTGCCCTAAAGAGGTACAGAGTCCTGTTGTCCAGTATATTGCTGATAATAGCATTAGCACTTTCATACCTCTCCTTTAACCACACCATTTCACATTTAAGGAGAAAATCAAACTGCCCAATGAGAATACCTTGCCGATGCTATTTAATTCTACACTGGCATGTGGCTTCTAAAGACTTAAAACACACGTTTCAATTGCTGTTTTATCTTGGAAGCGCAGAGGTAGAACAATGAATGAGACAGAAGGCACAAAAAAACTACCTAGAAATAGAAGCTTAAGGAAGATAAAACGGGCACTCAGAAACCCAGACCCATCATTGGTTTTTTTCTACCTGAAAGATGTCCACATTTCCTCTCGTGTAGAACTTAATGATGAACTAATGAACAAACTGCTGAAGTTTATGAAGAGTTTTCTTCAAAATGACATCTTCATTAAAAACGACTTTGAAAGTTTCATGTCAAAATTTCTTAAAAAAGTCACATCACAGTCTCCAGAGCTGCATATTCGATGTATTTCCATGTTGAAAAGTGCTGTATCTGCTGATCCAAGTGATAAAAGTAATGATCTTGAATTTTATAGAACCATGTTTGGATATAGTAAAATTTACACGATATTCAAAGACCAAATCAAAAGTTTATTTACGGAAGGGGCTGAGCCTGAATTTCTACTCTGTCTGATGAAATTGCTTGATAACCACAAGCTGATTTACAAAAATCTCCTCCCTGTTATTGAAAAATTGGGGATGTTTCTGGATCAGCACATCGTTGATAGAACAGTCATTGAATGTTGCACCGCACTGCATTGTGCTGGAAGAACATGTCCTGAGCTGTTCAACAATGTTTTCGTGGCATCACTTCTTACATATCTTATTGATCTTCTTGTGGATCCTCAAAATTTTATTTTTATTGGGTTTTCTGAAAGTAAAATCATTATCAACACCGTTGAAACATTGACAGATATTCTATCTAGTAATATGGAGCAGACAGATGCTGATCTGAGGAAGCTTTCCATGGGTCTATTTAGGCTGTTGGCAGAGAATATCAGGGAGTACAAGCGCTCAACAGTTTATGAAGAAATAATGGTTGTTCTGTCCGCAACTGCATGTTTAGAAAGCATATTCAAGCTATTTTTAAAAGCCGGCAATAGGAATATTGAGTTTCTCGATGCTGACTTATTAAACTTTACAGTATTTGAAAGATCAGTCAAAAGCAAAGAAAGCTACAGCTCACCACCTGACCACGAAACTAATAAAACAGGCACCGTTGACCAAAGGCTGCATTTGGAATTTGAAAGACCTTTTAAACACCACTATAACGCACAGTGCCAAATCCTCCGGGACGATTTCATTGTAAGCAAATATAAATTTTTAGATTTGTTCTGGAGCCTTACAAACACCTTTGAAAGGGTAGAGTTTCTCAACGATCTTTGTAAAATTGAAGCATCATACAAGCTCTTTTCAGTTTTAAATAACCTGAAAAGCAATATAGAGTGGTCGGATTTGATTGTATTCGCGTGCAATGCGCCGAAGAAAGAAAACTACATCCCTTTCATTTTCGATAGTAGATATACCAAGAGAAAAGAACACCATATATTTCTTAGCATATTCTTAACAAACCTGATAAATACGGCAAAGGAAAGTACGGATGTCTCGATGAAAAGCCATACAAAAAGTGACGACAGTCGAAGGGAGCTGATCTATTTTACCGGGGGTATGCCATTCGTTCCCGACTCATGTCTTTGATCTCTAGGCTTTACTTGATCAATCTAGACAAAAATGACAATTTTGCCAAAAAGAGGAGGGAAATGATTTTAAGATTCATAGCATCACTAGGAAAAACTGAAGTCAAGGAGACTGCGGAGAGCCTACAGGAAATGGATCCTCAAACCTCCAAGGAAGTGCAAGTTAGTACTAAACAGAAAGACCTGGGAAACAATCTAGTTGAAAGACTGAAGACTATTGAAATAAAAGAAGTTGTAAATAAAGAGCAAATAATAGAAAAGGATGGTCAGCTCAGATCAATGTTAAAAATAGTAAGGCCTGTGCAATGCCGGGAAGCCGAGGAGTTTGTGGAGTCATTAATTGATAATCTGGAATACCTGCATTATAATCTAGCACCGTTGCTTATAATATTGATTTACAAGGAGCTCTCGCCTGATCTACTCCGGCGCTTTCTAGAATGTCTAAACACAAAACTAAAAGAGAATACAGAATACTTCCTAGGACAAGAATCAATTGTGTGCATATTTGCAATATTGTGCGCCGTTTACAAGTATTCATATTTTGAAGATCACAAAATACAATCCGATAAAGACCTGTACATCGCTGTGCTTTGTATAAATATCATAGACAGTAATCAAAACATTAGTAAAATCAAAACTGATGCGTTTGATGCTCTTATGGAGTCAGACGAATCGACGTTTAAGATTGTTAAAGGAATTTTTCATATGTCAGATAACGAGAACAGCTACGTTACAGAGTTTAACAGAATTCTATCAATCCTAAATGGCGAAGACACTCCTAGTAGGAAACTTCAATATAGAATGGCAAACCAATAATTTTTATTCAACTATGCTTGTAGAGTAAATAGAATACAATCTAAAATGCTCGTTTCGTAGTCTATGCCTGCTCTATCACTTTTTTGTACTTGAGATTTGATCTATCCATGTATGATATACATCTATCGGCTTATCTAAGGTCGTTACTTCACAGCTGAAGTGTGATTCACAGATACTGCAGAAAACCATTCCTCTTTTAGTTTTAGAAACCAGCTTGCATTGGACCACGTTTTCATGGTTGCATACTGGGCAGTCAAATCTTGTTTCTATTTTTTGGACTGCTGGCTTTCTGACTTTCTTTCTTGTGCTTTTTCTAGCTCCCATCAAGGGGTTGAAAAATACAAAGGAAGTGCACATTCAGCACCGATGCAGAAATCAAATGATAACACTGCTCTGTGACTATTACAAAGCCAGCAATCGCACACTTCTGATTGTACAGACCACTGTGTATCTTGCCTGAGCCAGCAACATAGTTTGCACTTGGTGCTGTGAGTTAATGGAAATTCCACATTTTGTATTGCTGAACATATTTTTATTGCCCATGATCCTTGTTCAAAGCTCCGAAGAAGATGTTAAAATTTTAGAATTCCAAGGACGTTTTGAGAATTTAGATCTGTTCGATGGTAAATTTGATCAAAGTTCGTTAACTATAACTTTCAGAGATTTTACACTTCAGGGGAAAATTGTAAAAAAAGATTTTACTGTTTTTGAGAAAGTGGGAAAAGAACTAAGACAAGTCAAGAGAGTCACAGAAGTTGTGCTGTTTGATCAACCTCCAAGATTCAGACTGCGCTAAAGACAATCTCGCATAGTAGATAAGCTATCAAATAGTATATAAATAAATTATTCGGTAAAAGCTATTTTAAGCATGCTCAATAAAAGCTTCTTTAATGATGGTGGTGGTGTCCATGGCCATGTGACAAGATAATTGCAGTACAGCCAAGCACATATCCAAATGAAATGCTAAACACCTTTCTTATATTGTCCTTCCCACCATGGAAAGAGTGTCCAATAACCTCAAAGAAAACAACAAACATCAGGGCACCTAAACAAAGACCCATGGTCCATTGCTTGAGGGCTGTGTGTTTTGTGAATATACTCAATCCCCTCAGCATAATTGCAGCTGGCGTTAGTACTGAGTAAATTAACAATAAAAACATTTTCGAGCTATTTGAAAAAATAGACTCGTGAACAGATGCTCCGATGGCAAACGACTCTAGAATCTTGTGGAATATCAGTCCTGCAAGAAGAGGAATGTGCTTGAGGTTAATTTCAAAGCCCAGTCCCTCAAAGAATGAATGCACAGAAATGGCAAATAAGTACAGAAAGGCTTTGGCTTTGGTCTGTGACTTTGAAATAGCGCCTGTGTTACATGTTCCAAGGCTTTCGTGGCAATCCCCACCATGCTGATGGGCAAGCTCTTCGTGCTGGCTCGATGTGTGATTATGCAGACATTTGTGATGGTGCAAATGCTGCAGCACTTCTTTATTGTGATTCTCTGACTGCTTTTTGGTCGGCTCTTCTTCCGATGGATGAAGAAAGATCGAATCAATAGCCACCAAAGCTATGAAACAAACGCCCGATGCAACGAATGGATAAAGATCAGAGGCGTGGTGATGGTCACCTTTTTTCAAGTTCATGTGAGGAATCAAATCTACAATTATTGTTGAAAGCTGAAGCCCAGAGTTGAAAACGTTAACCATTGAGAAGTATTTTCTAACAATTTTGGAGTTTGAAAGTATCCTTGGGAGTAGACACGAAACCATACTAATTAATAAAATAGAAAAAGGAACAGTTAAGTTTGCAAAGATTGACGGTGTGCTTTCCGAGTGTTCTGGCATGCTGGGTAAACTTTTTTAAAAAAGAAGAAAAACTAGGATGGAAGAATACAAATTTTAAGTAAAAAATTTCTAAATAAATTTAATTGAAAGCACTTAACTTGTACAAAATGCATGTAGCTTGAGCAACATTCTATAAAGTCTATAAATAGGCTAGTGCTAGGACGCTCTGGTGTGCTTTGGCCAACATCGTATTTCACAGAGGATTAATATATCTCCTTGATAATTGATAGGATGTAGAGTCGATATCTTTCAAAGAGAAATTAGACGAAAAGGCGGAGTCAGACCACATAAACTCTCCTGTTTTATCAAGAGTGCAATAAATAACAAACAATGTCTCGTGTCTGTCATTTGATTGGTTTGATATTTTCCTTTTATTTTTGGTTTCACCACCCCAGGATATATGGGCGTTCCATCACTATACAAATGGATAACTCAGAGATATCCCGAAGTCAAGCTAAAACCAAACAGAGAAGAGGACCATCTCACCGACAACTTGTATCTTGACTTCAATGCCATAATCCATCCCTGCTGCAACAAAGCACTGGAGAACATGGCCGACACAGATACTGAACTGTACAAGAATCTAGAAAAATACATGGACGAGGTCATAGCACGAATAAGGCCAAGAAGACTGTTGTACATTTCTGTGGATGGAGTGGCTCCAAGAGCCAAACTTAATCAACAACGCTCAAGACGGTTTGTGCATGCTAGAGAAGTCTCGGAACAGGGGAACTTCTATTTTAAAGATGACTGTGGAAATGAGCCAGCTCACCATTCAAGATTGACAGTTTTGGACCAGGAAATAGAAAACTCTGCAGTGAGTAAGAATATGAGTGATGAAGCCACGCCTAATGGATGTGGCGTATTTGATACAAATGCAATATCACCTGGTACCGAATTCATGCAGAGATTGGATGCTTTTCTCCAGGAACTGATCAGCTTTAAGATGAGCTTTGATCAAAGATGGACAGGGTTTAATGTCATTTATTCCAGTTACCGCGTGCCTGGAGAAGGCGAGCAGAAAATCATGGAATACATACGAAAACACCAGAATCCCAAATTTTCCTCTGTTATTTTCAGTCCAGATGCTGACTTAATATTTCTCGGGCTATCTCTCTTTGACCACTCAGTAATGGTACTGAGAGAGGAGCCTCCGAAGCATGGCAATAGCAATGGATCATTGTCAAATGAGAAAGACTTTGTATTGGTTGACATTCCAAGATTAAAGCATTTGATTATTAGGGACTTTAAATATGTGATGAAAATGCCTTTTAACCACAGAAAGTTCTTAGAAGACTGGATTTTTCTGTGTTTTACTGTTGGCAATGATTTTTTGCCATGCACGCCATGCTTTGAGATAAGAACGGATGCTCTTGATAAGCTCACACATATCCTCCAGACTGTCTATTTAAACACAAGAAGTTTCATAACTGATAACGGAAAAATCAACTACGATGTTCTTAGAGAGTTTTTTATCGAATGTGCTAGACGAGAAAATACATTTATAGTAGAAAAGAGGAATAACCTAGTCAATGTAAGGCAGAGAATGAATCTTCCATATGACCCCTCCGAGGAGTTTTTCCTGGAAACAGAAAGAGGCAAAATCAGGTTTTATGTTGAAAAAATGGGAATAACTTCAGAAAAAGATCTTCTAATTGCTTGTGAAGAATACATTAAGGGACTGGAGTGGGTGTATAATTATTACTTCTATGACATGCCAAGCTGGGAATGGTACTACCCTTACCACTTTGCACCCTTTATGACTGATCTTGCATTGGTCAAAGATGTCAAGTTCAAGTTTACCACTGGCAGACCTCTTAAGCCTTTGGAGCAACTACTGACCGTTCTTCCACCCTCCTCAAAGGATCTTCTTCCCAGCTGTCTTCATTCGGTTTTTGATGAGTTTAAAGAATACTATCCAACGGAGTTTAAATTGGATATGTTCCAGAAATGTATGGATTGGCAGGCAGTCCCCATTCTGCCCTTTATAAACGTACAAGACTTGATCAAAGCATTTGAAAATAGGCAAAATGAGCTGAAATTCTCAGAATGTGAGAGAAATATCACTGGCTATCCGATTTTCTATTCAAAACAGCCAAGACTGATTGCAAAGATCTATCCTTTGTATACCGAGTTGAAACCGTACGACTATATTAAGTTTGATGAGTTTAACGGACGGGTGTATGCACTGAATAAGTTCAGGGCACTTGAGGAAGAGGTAAATCTGTATGGATTCAATTATATCAATAGAATCGTAAAATTTACTTTTGATCAAAGAAAAATAGGGAAATGAATTTAAATTAGGCTAATAAAACTTTAGATTATTATACTTTTATATTTAACCGTCTTAAAACCATCATTCTAAAATACATAAAGCATGCTGAGGATAGCAACGTAGCCTAGCTAATGACACAGTCTTTACTAAATGTATTAAAAGTGCTACCTAAAGATCCAGTACTATTTCTGTGAAACTGTCGCTGGAAAAGTCAGCAAGCACTGCCGAGTGGCTCTTTGAAAAATCCGGTATGCAAACAGCAACTATTTTTCCGACCCTTTTGATTTGAAATTCTTTGCATCCTCCGCAAACCAAATAGTTACAATCGTCGATTAAAAATGGATCGTGTTCGAAAAATGGCGTGGAACCAACTGTGTCAGGACAATTTGGAGCAATCAGTCTTATCCTGATTAGCTGCTCCAGAATGTCAGCATCCCCAAGTACAATTGGTGTTTGAGGGCCAGCTACTATGTTCATGGTATACTTCCTTAGATCGTTTAATATTTGGTTGTTCATAAACACAACCTTCTTTCCGCAAACAGTTTCTTGGGCGGGGTGTGACAAGTTTCTCAAACATGTTGAGAGCCTTTGATCAAAGAATAGCTGATGAAGCGGATTCTGTGGAAGCATCTTCGTCGTTGGATCGTTGGGTCCCGGAACGAGTACTATCTGGCCCTTGAAATCATTTAGTTCATTAAAAATATTATTAAAATCGGAGAAATCCGGCTCTCTATTGGATTCTGTGTAGATATCGCCAAATACGACAATGCTACTAACTTTCTTGTAAAAGTAGTCGACCATTGCCTTGCATTTTTCAAAATTTGAATGATTTAGCACAATGTTACTCATAAGAAGCACATTTTCTACAGTTGATTTGGCAGGTCTACCATCGCTCTTAATATTGGCATCCGTGGAGTTCCGAATGGATGCATTTGCGGGTACTTCAACGGGCTTTGGAAATATTACATCGGTGCAGACGAAGACGTTCGTTTCAATTTTGCATCCTACAAATCCCAATACGGTGCCTGTGCACAATAAAGAGAGCTTGTTAAATGATTGTGAAAATACAATGGGCAGCTTGCCCGAAAAGTCTTCGATGTACAGCTGGCTGTTCGGAACATAGCTTTCTACATTTGGATCGTTCATTTGCAAAATCGAAAACTTGAGTTTTGAGTCGAGAACAAGAATAGCAATTACAATGCATTCCTCAAAAATATCATCGCCTAGCTTTTTGAGAGGAAGACTGTACTCTGAAATGGATGGGTTGCTCATTATCAACTCTCTCATTCTGTTGTATCTTGTAATGTAGCTTATGTTGTACTGTCTTGAAAAGTCCGCCTGACCCATTGTCTGAACAAAAATTTTTGCAGGTTTAGCAAAAAAAGAAAAAACTGAAGAAATTGATGCAAAAATAATTGAAAAGACTTTCTTTGTGCAAAAATTAAAACACAACTGGCTGATCCATTTAAACTATGAAATATTCGTAAAGTTTCCTATAACCTTGACAAACTATGCTTTAATTGATTCATTACTGCCAACTGGTTTTGCATCTGTGCTTGCCTCCACCTTTGCCGCTGCTTGGCTCTTCAAAGATCCTTGAATTTTAAATATAAGGTAAAATATTATAAATAGATATATCTGAATTTTAATGGCTACTTTGATATCGCTGGATTCTTCAAAATATCCAATGTATCGTGCAGCCTGCACCAGCACATTTGAAATAATGAGTATGTTTAGCATATTCTTACTTCCAAACGTACTAACCTTAAGCTCACCAATCTTGAAATGAATGTTGAGAAAATCAAAACATATGATAATGGCCGTGTGTGACACATGCATTAAAAGACAATACGGTGCATTGTGGAGTCTTCTTGCAACAGGCTCGTAGAAGTAAGTTCCACAAAACAAAGCAACAGAAGCCATAAAGTACATCACAACCTTTTTCATGGATTTATCCATAACAACCGATTTTCCTATTTCCTGTGACATCAGATATGTGCCAAATTGTGGTACTAAAAACACTATTCCCTCAAGGTTTGCAGTGAAAAAGTTTTTTCTATCGTTGTTTAGAATCTTAGCTTCAAGCCCGAGGAACAAGGCTATTTGGTACCAAAAGATCAAAACCAGCCCACTTACATATGGAAATTGTGGATTTACAAATATTGAAATTAGATTCAAAAGTGCCAGATCAATAAAGAAGTTAAAATGCTTGCCAAACTCTGCTTCTTTAATATCGACTCTAAGCAAAATTTTTGATAAAAGTCTGCAAATCCCAAAAAAGAAGCATTTTCCAGAGTTAATTAATTTCTTCTGTCTGCTAGCCTTAAATGAAACAAGGCCAGAATTAAATACAAAAGATCCAGCGCCTACGTCCATTAGCCTAAACTCGCAGTTCATGCTCTTCCCGAATCTACCGCTGTCATAGTTTTTAAAATCAGCAGCAAAGATAGCAAGACAAACTAAAAATGAAATGGTCATTCTCATTCTATCAATGGGATCAGTGTGAGTTGTGTAAGTGCGGTGGTATTTTGTAGGAACAACTAAAAGCACAGTAATCAATGCTAGGTAAACGAGGTATGCTCTTTCAATAAACCTTAAAACTAGATACTGTGGAACTGAATAAAAGAGAAACTCAAGGAAAGTATTTGCAGGACAAATCCTAGAGTAAACTAGCATTGAAATTTGTGGGACTCCAATGATTTCCGCAAACTCAAAAAGTGTCAGTGGCATTCAAGGATAGCTCCTGAAAATTTTTTGTTTGCAATGCTAGTTTAAAAAGGATCAAATCAATCAATGGCATGTCAGTGTGATTTACTACTGTCTAATCGTTATACCTCCCTGACTCCACCAACTCACTTATTAAGTGCAAAAAGTCTATTTCTCTGCCTCTTTCCTTTTTGAAAGTTAAAACGCACTGTTATACGTCTTTTTCTTCAGTTTCACAACAATAGACAGCCCAACACTCTCATCTCTTATCTTTATTTTATCATCGTTTCTCCACGCAGGAATCTTTGCCATTTTCAGGGTTTTCAGTATATCAAACCATCTTTCGTAATTAAAAATTGGTATCTCAATAAATGCCAAGTCGTTAGATCCCGCACAGCTCATGCATTTGTAAAATGATGAATAGTACGAAAGGCCTTCATAAAGAACCAGCATTCTATTCCTAATTAATGTAAACTTCTCTTCTTCCTGCTCAGATAATACTCTGAATATTGAATCTTCCATTCGGTTAATGTTTAATATTCCCTTCTCGGATATTGCCTTGTTCAAATGATCCATGAGATGATGGAATGTCTTGCAATGTCCTCTAATTTCAGACCTTACAACGTTATCTTCAACAAGTCTGTACAAGTAAAAGTGCTTACTGGCTGCAGAATTTGCCAATGTGCCATCAAAATCGGAAAATCCCAGCTTATGAATTTCAGAAACGACAAGAGAATCTAAGATGAACAGATTCCTAAAGACCGGGCTTTCGCTTATGTTTAAAATGTTGTTTAGATGGCTAAAGGTCAAGATATCGGTTGAATTGTACATCATTGTCTGTAGCAACTGTATTTTTCTATATGCATCGAGTTCTGCTTGTTTTGACAATCTACTGGACTTCCGGCCATGGTTTTTACTCTGTGCCATTTTAATATTTGTAATATGTGCATTTGCTTGCGTAGCATTTTTATCGCTTTTCATTAAAATGTATCTAAGTATTTTTAGCAAATTTCTGACATGTCTGTTTTCATATTGGCTGTCAATGCTATCATCAAAATACATCCAGTCGATCTCGTATATTTTCACATTATTGCCTTCGTCCATCACAATGCTCTTTATTGAAAATTCCGAAACTCTAATCTTCATTGTGGAGAGGTAGTTTAGAAGCACTAAAAGCTGAGCAATGATTTTTAGAGCATCTGTGCAGTTGATATCGGTGCTTGTTTCTATGTATCTTTCCAAAAACATCCCATTTGCTGCCGTCTGAACAATTACTTGATAGTTCTGAATTTTCTTGTTTATTAAAACTTTGGGCAGTGACTTTACATTCAAAATAGACAAGATTTTATAAAGATCACAGACAGAATCAAAGGATGTTCTGTTATTGAGGCAGTTGAACTGCCCGACATTCTCCAGCTTTATTATTTTAATCAAAACGTCCTCGTTGGTTTTAATGTCAAATCCCTGGAAAACCTTCATCTTCTCAATAATTTTTATGGTTTTTATGAATTGGTAGTTGATAAAAATCGAACGAAATTCCATCATGTCATGTAATTCATAATCCATTGCCGTGTTTATTTTCGGCATGCTTTTAAAGTTTCAATCTGAAACAACAAGTGACAATAAATGCTTATTAAACTATAGTTGGGACAGTGTTTGACGAAAATAGTCAAATACATCCATCAACCTTATTCAAGATTTTGATTTGTGGATATCTGTCTATGTTACTTATTTGCACTCAGTCTGTTTTCAATCTCTAATAACCTCTTTTTGGCTTTTCTGAGAATTCCGCTAACCGCCAAAATGCTAAATCTCACTTCAGCTTCACTAACTTTACCCATCGAACATATTGTGTAGCAAACATACTTATGAATAGAAAGATTGCATCTAATAATTACAATACCAAGGCAGTCGTATCGCTCAACTACCTCAAAACAATCTATCATTCCAAGGACGTACTCGCCAAAATTAGTTTTGATTGAGTTGTAGAGCAGATTTTTAATTCCTTGAGCCAGCGCAGCATCTAAATGCGTACTTTCCCGACGATTTGTATGTCTGTAATCTATCTTCACAACGATGTATCTGTGCTTGAATCCAGCCATATTTCAGTTTTCTGGCTTAAAATTTTCGAGACGAAAAACTAAATATGGCTGGGGCTAAAAGTGCGAAAATGGCAGTAATGATAAAACACCTGCCGGTGCAAATGCAACAGCATTTGGAAGTATTTATTCTAGTTTTCCAAAGGACTTTTCACCCATGAAAATCGCTTACATGTATGATGAAACAATAGGCCTTCATAGCTATGGAAAAGACCACCCAATGAATCCTTTCAGAATAACAATGACACATTCGCTAGTCAAGTCATATCAACTAGAGCATTATCTGGACCTCTATGCTCCGACTAAAGTTCCAATTACGTATCATAGCGATGAATATTTAAAATCAATCGGAGTGAAGGAGACGCCAGACTGCCCAGTATTTGAAAATATATTTGATTTCTGTGAAAGATATGCTAGTGCGTCTATTAATGGAGCATTCATTCTCAATTCTGGTCTCTACAACTGTGTCATTAACTGGGCCGGTGGTCTGCATCATGCTAAAAAAGAAGAGGCAAGTGGCTTCTGTTTTGTAAATGACATAGTTATGGCAATTCTTGAGCTTCTTTCAAAGTATGAAAGAGTCATGTACATTGATGTTGATGTTCATCATGGAGACGGAGTAGAAGAGGCATTTTTGGACAATGACAGAGTCTTAACTCTGTCTCTCCATAAGTATGGCGATGGATTCTTTCCTGACACTGGAACATTGATAACTGGTGACTGGAAAGCACTGAATGTGCCACTTCAGAATGGAATAGATGATGACTCGTATAAATACATATTTGAGCCTGTGGTTTCAAATGCCATCAGAAAATTCAAGCCAAATGTAATTGTATATCAATCAGGTGCTGACTCACTAGCTGAGGACAAGTTAGGAACATTCAGCCTAAGCATAAAAGGACATGCTGAGTGTCTTAAGTTTGTGATGAGCTATGAAATACCACTTTTAGTACTGGGTGGGGGCGGCTACACTATACACAATGTTGCTAGGTGTTGGGCATATGAAACGGCGGTTCTCTGCGGTGCGCCCATCCCCGATGTTATTCCCGATGACAATCCGTTCAGACAGTATTTTGAGCCTAACTTCGAGACAAACCCAGAATTCTATCACAAGCATGCAAATCAGAATAGAAAAAAGTACTTAGACTCAATAATAGAGTTTTTACAAGACAAAATCGATAAGTTTTAGCACAATACTATAAATTTTATATAAATGATGAATAAATACATTGTGGAAGCAACTCCCATGTGCACTATCATAAAATATGTCTATTATGTGGTGCTTATGATCTGTTTTATGTCTGCGTTTGCAACTTTGTGTATATTTTGCTATTTTGCAAAATTTTCCCCACGTCTCATGAGCATGGAAAAACTCAAAGAACAAATAGAATTCTATTTCAGCGACTCAAACTATTCAAGAGATAAGTTTATGATTGCAAAGGCATCTGAAAATGATGGGTTTATTCCTATTTCTGTTCTTCTTACTTTTAAAAGACTTCAGGCCATGAGCCCATCAGTAGATCAAATTAAAGAAGCGGTTAGAGACTCAAAAATCGTAGAAATAAAGGACAACTTGCTCAGAAAAGTCCAAACCCAGGAATTCAAGGACTATTTGAATGACAAGCAGATTTCTAAACGGGTCTTATACATGAAAGGGTTCGGTCTTGACTCTACGCTTGATAAAATCAAAGAGATTCTAGAAAGGTATTGCAAACCAGTAAGAATAACTATGAGAAGAAGCGAAGATAGAAGGTTTAAGGGCTCGTGTTTTGTTGAGTTTAGTTCAAAAGAAGAGGCAGAAGCTGCAATTAATTTGAAAATTGAGGACAGGGTTGAAAGTCAAAATGAGGAGCAGGTAAAAAAGCAAAAGGTTGAGCCTAGCCTCATTGAGATAATGACTAAAGAAGACTATCTTTCGACAAAGAATAAAGGAAAGGATGAAAAGAAGGATGAAATTTTTGGAGAGAAGGTCAAAAACAGTTTTATTCCCAAGTTGTTCAGGTTTGAATGCAGCAAAGACCTTGACGTTAAAGAAATTAAGCAAGCGATCAAAGATTGCGCATTTGTCGATGCTCCAAAGAAGGTTATAAGAATGAAGTTTGCTGAAGAATGGACTGAGAAAGAATTTAATATTTCTGACGACGCGGACAAGAGCAATTCCAAAAGAAACGAAGAGAACGGCAGTAAAAACAGTTCGAAAAAAGGATTTATTAAGCTTATCAAAATGACTGAAGAGGAAGCAAAAGAGTACTTGAAGGGTATAACAATAAAGAGAATAGGAAAAAACAATAAATGAACCAATTTATTTTCAAAAGCAAATCTGCCTTTAGTCTTTCAAATATTAAAACAGATCTTTGCGTTTAAATGTGTTTTAATGAGACTGATGTAGATTTTTCAATGAAGGCACGGTCGCGTTGCCCCACCAATCTGTTAATTAAACAAGCTTTGTGCATGTTTTACGTGCTTATCTAATAATTTCACTTTAAATATCAAAAAATCTCCTGAAATTTTCACAGCCTTTGACCTTTTTTGGGAGGTCAAGAATATAACTGGGAATGTCCTTGCCCACCAGAAAATTTGCCAGCCAGTTAGTAAAATTGTTGCAGTTATTATCAAAAAAGTCGTATGTATTTTCATTCCAGTTTGATTCGCAACTCCTGAAGAAATCTTCAAGAACGTCTTGGGAACAGCTTGTACTACCAAGCGAAACCCGTTCAATACAAGGATTGAACATCGTTGTCCCTGCCTTTTGAACTACAAGTCCTCCGTGGAAGAAGTACTCGTTTCCATACGCTTCTATGGATGTGTGCCACACCCCATCAACCTGAAAACCAAGAATCTGTAGAGAGAGTATCTTGGCCATGCCTTTGGACAGATCATACACTCTCAAAAACACCTCTTCACTATTCACTCTTGAACTTGCATCTAAACGTGTGTTTAGCTCTTCTTTCTCCATGTTCTGGGTGGTGCTGCATACATCCTTATTATCCTGCATGGGTCCAAACAAACATTTATTTTTATTTGTACTAATTTTTATGATATTTTATACACCACATCAGTTATACATTATTCGTGTAATGGCTTTACATCAATTGCGTATGGGCTGAAATACAATATCGTGAGAAGTTTGAAGTCGTTTTTATGACAGTAATATAAATGTGTGATAAGCTTATTTCGACTAGAATATGACGTTTCTAATTTAATTTTTATCGTCAGAGTGTAATTTATTTAAAGTTGTAAAGTAATTCAAAGCATGGAATCTTTGCAAAATGATACTTTATCTTATTTCATTTAAGCTTGTTTATTCAAGGCATTAATGCATCAGAGAAATGCGGCAGGTGTGGTGTCAGCAGCTTGTTTACTTAAATTCCGCTCTTTTCGTCCTTCTGTCCGCCCCTTCTTTCATTTCTGAAATCACAGTTGTAGCACTGAAAAAATGCAAAGTCATCGTTTTTGGGATCAATCAACCCATTATGAACCCCACATTTTCTACAGATTAGTGCATTTAAGTTTGAAGGATCACTTCCAAGCACAAAATCTGTAACAGAGTCCAGCGCACTCCTTTTTTTTCGCTTTAATTGATTGAAAAACGTACTTCTGCTCTCTTCCTCCTCATATTTCTCGATTATTGATTTTGTTGTTGAAAAATTTACATCACTTTTGCACTGCTCAATTAAGCTCTTCCTTTCCTGTTTCAAAGCACTCAATTTTTTCTCTTTATATTCGATTTTCTTCCTTTTTATTGTCTTTAGAAGATAGATTAGGCCTGTCAATGCCATAAAGAGTAGTGCCAGTGCTATTATCAATGGAATTTCAAAAATATATGCAAAATATGAAGCAATCGGAATGGAGAAGAATGATATAAAGAGAGTTGAGTAGTAGCTCTGCCTCTTCAGCACATTTAGCTCATATTCATTCTTTATTACTTCATTTTCTAGATTTAGGAGCTTGTCTTTGATCGTGAGTTTCCGGGAGAAGACTGAGCCCATGGGATGGATGATAAAAAGCATATTATTTGTTAAACAGTGCATTTTAATCAGAGTATTTAATATGAAGTGCTGAAGTATGCTACAAATAGTCCATTTTAATCTAACGCTCATCTAAGCTTCTACAGCAATCTGCCACGTTGTGTAAATACTAGCAATATAGTAATTACACCAGAAAGCTTAGGCCAATATCCAGGTTGCACTGTGCACAGTGATTAATGTTTCGTGGGTTGGCTTTTGGCTCTTTTTAGGAATAGATTGACGTAGCTCTTCTTCCTTCAAACAAATTTTTTCAACAGATCAATAAACGTTTAAATCAGAATAAAAATAAAAAATTTTGTCTTCCCTTTAATTTTTGCAATGAATATCTGCTCAAGATCAACGGTCCTGTTAATAGTTTCTGCTATTATCAGCTCAGTTGCATGTGTGTTGAGCCCAGATGAGCAGCTATCTCTTGATTTGGATGCTTTTGACTCAGAGAACTTTGAGGATGTAGTTGAGCACCATTCTGACGAGACTTTTCATCAGGTTATTGCATCAAAAAGCTGCAATGAGCATTTGGACAATATAACCAGGCTTTGCACACAGTTGGAACAGTGTATTGAAACTATGAACAAAAGCCAGAAGATCCATTTTCCTGCCTTGCTACTCGAGAATGTCCAAAATTTAACGAGCCTTTGTAGGAAGGTTTGTGAACAAGTAGGAATACAACGCCTAAACTATAAAAGAGAGTGCACGACAAAGCACTACAATTTTAGTCTATTGAAGTTTGCAGAGATGCTGTTTGATGTAAGGGAATACATTGAAGCTCAAGTAACCATTTCAAAAAATATCCACTCCAGAATTAATAATAAGTCCATTGAAATGCCGCCAAAGTTCACGAATAAGTCAGACACTTTCAGTGAATGCACTGGTGGAAAAGCCATATTTAGAGAGTTTATGACAACCTTTTACTTGCATTTATTAGGCCTGTCTCGTTGCCTTGAATCAAGAGTTGGTCCAGACTATAGCAAGGAGAATGTAAGCCCAGTCACTGAGCCAGAAAACACACGTTTTTAAAGCAAATGGCCTGAGCTATACCTTTATATTTAATTAAAGGTGCTATGAGAAAATATCTTTAATTAAATAAAACTTTAACAAACTACTGAAACTCAGTGCTTGATTTAACATTTAATTACCTGTTGGTCTGATCATTATTGACATATTGAGACTATTTATTAAGCTTAAGATGGATTGATAGACATTTGATTTTAAGTCTTTTTAAAGAAGCTGTTATTGTGTTATTTCTAAAATGGTTTATGCTCTGAAGCCTTGGCCAATCAAGTTGGAGGAGTAAGTTTAATACAAGGACTATGCACGCACAATAGCTTCCTATTTTTAGTATAAACTTAATTGTACAATCCAGGAAGAATACAAGCAGTAATGGGAATGAACGTATTTCATACATTTTAGATCTTGTAAATGTCAATAAAGCTTGTAAACACTTTATTTTAAAGAGTGGCTTCGCCTTTAATCTCTGTCACTGACTGAGTAACAATTCACTAGTCCATTTTGATGGTTTTATGCACATCACCGTTGTGATGTATTCTTAAACTCTCATAAATCCTAGCCTTCGACTAAACGCACATGCTTAAGACAAAGGTCTAATCAAATAGAAACGGTAATGAACTAGACACAGTCAGTACACCTTTTCAAACACATACTTTCTCAATTTCGATGGGTATTTCAATCGGGTGATAGCTTATCCTTTTCTCTTTCAATACCTCAGTCACTTTCTTCATAAATCTATTTTGTGCAACCCACATGTAATATCCATTTTGGTGGTTTATTGAATGTGTTATCCTAAAATCAACCTTTGCAAACCTACAGTCTACGATTTCATCCACAGTCAAGCCAAACCCTTCAAAGGCTGGACTTTGCATTGCGTATTCTTTCAAAATCTGCCTAATATGCTCTATTTTCTTTACATCTGTTTTTCGCATCAAAACTGATATCATCTTTTGTTGATTTTTTGATCGTCTAATATTTCTGAAGACCTTGTCTTTAAGGCTTTTGTTTGAATATATCACAACTTCGTTGTTCCATCTTTCAAGAACAGTGCTTGTCAGTCCTATGGATTTTACAATAAGATTATCAGAATCTATGAGGACCCTGTCTTCGATGTCATATGGATGGATGTAGACAATAAAGATGAAAGAGTCAAGTATATTAACAAACCATGGAATCATGCATAATACAAGTGGGTAGATCAAACATTTCATAAAATTGTTAAAATCAAATATCTGTCCTACAACAATAACTGATAAAAGTGTAAAAAGCACCCATGTGCTTATACTGAGGATTTTTAGAATATACCTGTTGCCCCGCAAAAAGTTTGCAAACGACTTTCTTTCAATGTTAATCTGTCTCATACTTTCATAAAAATCATCAAAAGCTAAACACTCATCAAACCCTTGTGTGAGAAGTCTTAAGAACTCGGTCGATTCTTCATTGCCGAACAGTCGAGATATGCTTTCCTTTGAGATTCTACCTGTCAAATGTCTGTTGAAATGCGTGTGTTTAATAGCCAAAGTACCAGAGTGGTGTAGTTGCTCCACTGGGTTAGCCAAGTTTATAGTACAGTTTTCGTTATGTTCTTGCATTGTTTTATTAGGAAGCAAAGTGCTTAAAGTATCTTTTGTTTGGTCTTTGTGAATTTTACCATTCTCATCGGTAATTTTTATTACAAAATCGGTTGTGATTGGATTTCCATCGGCTGTTTTAGACGATATATTGTATGTATTGCTAGGTACTTCTCCACTATCAACTTCAGCTGACGGTTCATTGCTTTCAAGGTTCTCCCAAACACCATACGATAAGCATATTTTGTCAGCTGTTGCATTCAATTCAGGATTATCGCAAAGAATACCGAATAGTATTCCTGGATCGTAGCTTCCCAAGCATTTGGCCTTTTGTCTGACTTGTCTGCTGTACAAAGTATATAGTTTTTGACCATTTCATCAGTAAAATGTACATGCGAGCTTCTATTCATTAGCCGTATAATAAACCTCTCGAGTTTAATAATATCATTGTAGTACTCCATCTTTTTACTTGTACTAAAGTTGGAAGACAGACCATTCTTTAGCATTCCTCTCAAAATGTTCATTAAAGCTATTACTATCAGACAAATATCAAAATTTTTATCAACCCCGACTAATATCCGTGCTATGACAAAGAGCTCATACATAATCTTTGAATAGAAAAATGTAGCTAGTGTCTTAACTAATAACAGATTGGATAAACTTGACAAGCTTCTAGTCAAGCAGCCAGATAGAACCCCGAGGATGTAAATGAAGGATAGAAGTATATAACTGTGCTGTTCTGTAGTAAAGTATAAATATATGCAAATATAGTATGCTATCACTTCTATTGAAAGAATACCAGAGTAGTAAAGGATTTTTTTTGCACGTGTTCTCATTATGGGTATGCTGCAAAAGTAAAATATATAAAGCATAACAGTGTGTCCACAAATGTGTCATGTCATATGTCAAATTTAAATTGATAGTGTACACAGTTCAGCACAGGGCTGTCTGGCCTCACACTTCGGTACTTAATAAGTTTATGTCAAAATTATAATCAACTTTAATTTTTCAACCGTCTAACTGGCGAAGGCTCTTGTGTGCATGTACAAAATGCAATGTTGCTGTTTGTCATGCTAACCAAACTCATAGCCAACTTCATTCAGATCTCTTTGACGTCTTCAATATCTTGTGATGAAAACTTTTATCCTCAAAGATGTCTAACTTAGAGAATAAGGAGAGTATGCATAATGACATTAATACCATAGATTTTATAGAAGCCAGAGCCAAAGAAATCCAGCATATAGAATCTTCAATCAATAAGTCAAGTAAGAAGACCATGCTATTTCAGAGATTACCTTTTTACAAAAGAAGGAGAAACAGAAACTACGACAAAAGAATGTCACGTAAGTTTACATACAGAAAGAAGGATAGACATTTCTTGAGAACACACACATTTTATTCCAAGAGATTTTTTATGCTAAAACTGGACACTTCTGAGGACATTTCAGTGCCATTTAAAAGACGGTTAAAAAGCAATAAGTACATTTACAAATCGCAGGACCGAGGATTTGTATTTGATGAAAGCTTTAGGGGTGGGTGCTTCTGTGATAAAAATGATTTTGTCAGGATGCTTGAGCTGGGAATGAGTGTAAATGAATCTAGTCTATTACAGACCGTGACAGCTTCTACTTCCAAGAGCAGCAAGCCATCCAATATGGGTATTTTATCAACTATGACTAAGGCTCCAATTCAGCAGCTATTCAACCACATTGATCTGTCAATACATGATAGAGTTCAGAGCATATCCAATTTATTTGATATAATAGTGACAGCATCAACCGTCTTCTTTGTTGGTGTTTATCCTGAGCATCCAAGTCTCCACTTTTCGCCCCTCGACTGCGTGTTTTCAATTATGAAAAACGAGAACCATGACTTTTCCTATCTCAAAAACCTTAAATCTGTCAAAGTTTTCAAAAACAATAGCAACTCTCTTGAAACTTATAAAATCATCTGCGATAGGTCGGAGGCTATGCCCATCTATGAAAAGCTCATTAACAATAGCATTATACCAGTATGCCTTGAAGAGATCAATAGAATAGCTATTGAGAATGATCAAATAACGGTATATGATAACCTTAATTCCGAGATATTCAAGATTATTGAGAGATCCAAGAACAAGGAAATAATTGAGAAGTACAATAGAACACCCCCATCAAAAAGGCAAAGCTATGATCTTGATTTTCTATTTCTTTCCCAAGACAGTGAAATATACCGTAATTTAAATCATCCTGGAAAAATCATATACTGTGTTTTTAGTGTTGTGAAAGGCTCTGTTCACAGATGTGCTCAGCTCTTTTGTGGTGAAGAGTGCATTGGACGAGTTGTCAGAAGTGAGTACAAATTCTCTTCTGGCTGCTGTTATGGTCTTGGAGTGTTGTATTCTTGGAAGTGCGATACTGAAAAGTTTAATTTTGAAGAAAAGTTTACTTGTAAAAATCTTTCACAGAAAAATTTCTATGAAGTATCAATTAAAAAGATAATGTTGTGTTGACTGAGTCCTTGCACACTCGGGTCTTTGATTAGAAATTCAAACGTGCACTTTTGACTAGTCACTCTTGCATAAGCTTTGATGCATCTTGCAGTACTGCTTAATTATTAGTTGTTTAAAAGAATATTCTGATTGCATAAATATGGAAGCAATTTTTACAGACAACGAAGAAGAGCTAAAGAAATTGTCTTTAAACATTAATAAAAAGGACATTAAAGCAAGACTTAGACAATCTATTATCAGCAACTCACCAAAGATCTATGATCAACTCCTCAAAAGTAGAAATGTAGAAACTCAAATAGCAATTGTCAACATTATTATTAAGGCTATGAATAAAGAAGATATTCGTTCTAGCAATTTGCTAAATGTCCATAATAAGCGTATTCTCAGTGTTCAGAAGAATAATAAGAATAGCCTTCTCAGCTTCTTAAAAGAGTTTTCAATGATTGAGCCTGAGTGCAGAGTTGTGGGTGTAGAAGTAGATCTATTCAAGATTAGGGACAGAGAAATAAATGGTGGGTTTCTTTTTATGGGAGATGAAAATTTCAGGTTTCAAAAGGATAACGAAGTGGTGATAATACAATTCAAGTCCATAGAAAATGTATTATTTAACGGTATTGATCTAACAATACTAGCAACAGAGGGAAGAAAGGTGGAGATCAAGTTTATGTACAAGCAAGATCTTGGGAAATTTAAGGAAAGAGTTATGTGTAAGTTTACCCAGGCTGATGCAGAAGAGTCCATTATGGTCGAGATAGGAAAGAAGGTTACTTTTTCACCTGAAATAAAAGTGAAGGAGAAAGTCTACGGGCATGATAGCATTAGCAACAGATTTAATGCTGAGAAAGAGGATGAAAACCACATTGAAGATGAATTTAATATCAGTCCAGTGAAGTCAGAAAACAAACTATCAGCAGTAAGCAGTCCGAGAGAAGGATCAGATGACCGCACAGTGCATTTGAATAGTCCTAAAGAACGTTTAAGTGGCAAAACCCAACATTTTTGTGACAAAATGCCCATCAAAAATACTAGAAGGCCAATATCAAAAGATAAATCAAGGTGTAAAATAGTAAAGTAAAGCCTGAAAAGTGTAAAAAACAACACTCGAAAAATAAAAGCAGGGTAAAGACTAAAAAGAAGTTGAAAGTGTTCAAAAAGAACCGAGCGATGCCTGATTTTAAAAAGAAGAATACGCTTTCTTTCAAAAAGGAAAAGTGCTTTGATAGATTGAAAGATGAGATTCGTGAAATTTACAAAGATAAGCTTAAATTAGCAAAGTTGGTTTACAAGTCAATGAAGGAAGATGCAATAAAGTTTAAAGAGAGTGTTGAAAGTATTGAAAAACGCAGTGTTTATCGAATAAAATGAAATTGATCTAAAAAATCAAACTGCATTCTTCAACAAACTTGCCGTTGTTCAAGTTGAATTTATTTGTAGTGTATCAATTTCAATATCAGACCATGTGCGATGTTCTACGCCCTCTTCCTTGTAAAATTTTTCTCAATGTATGTTCTTATCATGTCTATTTTAAATGCTGAGTAAAAGGAGTGCTATTTTAAAATAGTTTTATTGCATCACAGATTTGAATGTGCAAGCTATTAAAGCTATTTTAAAATATTGCCTTATGTCTTAGTACACTTTTATAAACAGAACGGCCCTCTCGTTTATGTCGCTGATGTTCCACCCAAAAGCATTGGACTTGCTTTCAAAATTCAAGAAGACTGGAAATCAAAAGTTACTGGAAAGTATCCTTGTTTTTCTCATTGACAACACTCAGCATTTGGACATCTCTTACCTTAAGCAGGTTCTTTTTTTGTATTTTGAGTCAAAAAAGCAGTGGGCAGAGAAAAGCTCAGATCTTGGAAGAGATGATTCAACAGAAGTTTATCAAGAAAAAGGTGGGTGACTGTTTTGTATGCTTTGCTAGACGTCTGAAAAGGAACAAATACCTCGAAATTTTATCTGAAAATAGGAAAAATAAGCCTTCAATTTTTGGAGATAAAAATTCTAAAAATTTTATTGATATTATCCCAACCAAGAAAGACAAAAACAGCAGTAGTGACAACAGCAAATTAGTTAGCTCTAGCATAGTGCCACAAAATATGTCAAACACTAATGATGATGTGTTGATTGATGGCTGTATTGATTCATCTAGCTTTATTGACTTTACAGATGATCAACGTCTAGCAAATGAAGACTATAGTACAAATCCCAGTGCAGTAGTTGATAAGGCAAGCGATATTGTATTTGATGAGACGCTGATCTTCAGAAGTGTGCCTGATATTCAGCCTGCACTAAAAAGAAGCATATTAAGTAAAAAACTAAGAAGCACTGTTCCACAGTCTAACACTCTGAATTTCTCTAGTATTAAAAACATCACAGTTGAGCATATTAAAAAGTTTGCTCCTTTGAGTCTTAAAAGCGCCACGTTCGTTTATGATAAAAACAATATCATACTTGGCACTCAAAGGAAAAGAGACGATCTTGTCAATCCTGTCAAATTACAATTTATTAAACACTTTGATCAAGCCAGGCCTCCAATATATCAAAAGAGAGGCCTAATGGAACGGGCTGTGTTCAGTTACAGGAAGCTTTCTGAAGTACTGTCATATGACTATGACTCCTCAGATGACTGGGAAATTTTTGAGGAGAGCACTGAAACACTTGACGAGTATAGCGAAGACACAAGTATTGACTCTGATGTCAAAACAGAAGAAGGATGGATAGAGAAAGATTCTGAAGATGCTGAAACTACGAGATATTCCAAGAAACCTAGCCTTGTTTTTGAATGTGACGTTTGTATTGAAACGTTTTTTGAAGAGAGAAAATTTTTGCATGCAAACCTCATCCTTTCTGAAAACTTTTCAAAAGAATTGCAGGATGAATTGGAAAAATATAAGATAGAATTTCAAGGTGGTTTTGAAGAGTTAGTTAGTTCTTTTTCTGCTCTTTACAACGTTTGCCAAGGCACAGTACAAGAAAAATTAATAAAAATGGTCTATCAAGAAAAAAACAGTTAAAAGAGAAGTATAAAATATGAGCATAGCCCATACCAGACTTGAGACAAGCTAGCACAGAACCATCGAACCGATTGTGCTTTTATAAATGGATATGTGTCTGTATTGATATTAGTATTTTAGATAGATTTGACCGTTACTTAGAATTTAATTTCTGCAATTCCAAGTTCTCTTAGCTTTTCATTGACTTTTTCAAAAGTGTCATCAGGCCCTTTGACTGTACTGCCTTTTACTTTTGGATGCGTGAATATTTCATAATCATTCCCTCCTTCCATTGTCATGTCCCCGAAGAAGAAAATCTTGTCCTGCTTAATATGCTGGAGACAATACGTTTTGTCCCATCCTTTTGGGAAAATATCTATCGATATTTGCCCTCCAATAGATGTTTGCATATTCATCTTATCACACGTATCTTTCAACTGTTCACAGATGTTTTTCCTTAGATTAGACTTCTTGTCAAATTCATTGAACTTATCCCTTTCCTCTTGAGTGCAGGTTCGGCCAATAGGACTCACATTGATCAATGCCTGTCTCAACTCCACGAATGTTCCTCTCTTGATAGGACAGTCGGATTCACTTAGTATCCTCAAAACCTTGTTTATCAAGATCTTGTAATTATCCTCCCCCAGAAATGTAATGATAGAAGCAGCACTGACACGCTCTCTTCCCTTATAAAACAGTGTCCCATTCTCTGGAAACCCGTAGTCAAATATGTCCAGTAGCTCTGGACCTATTTGTTCCTCTTGTTTTGACAGATCTGAACCTCCAACAAAGGCAACATATACCCTTTTCCTTAATTCATTCAGCATATGAATAGACTTCGATGGGGCAGTACGTCTGGAAGGCGACAGTGTTCCATCTACATCAAATAAAAATATCACATCTTCTCTCTTCTTCATTATGGGTTAAGTTATTTGTGAAAAATTTTCCTATTTTAATATAAACAAATGCATACGTCATATCTTTCAAGTATATTTAAATTTATTTAAAAACAATTTATCAGGAAAGAGTTGTGCATGTTAAATGCCCTTTTCTAGTACTGTAAAATGTCAATCAATCAAAAGTGGCTGTTTGCTGGAAAGAAGTGGGTCTGATTGATTCTTGGCAACGCATTCTATTTGTTTCTTTATATGCTTTAATTTGTTTATACATTCTTATTAGCTGATTCTTCACAAAATCAAATTATTCCAAATTTTTTAATCCATGCCAAAAACTATAATCAAGCCGTCTCTTACGAGCATTAATTCCATTGACGTTACCGTTCATAACGAATCGCACACTGCAGCTGCTCCTCTTGTTGAAAGAATGCTACAAGATCCAGATTGTATATTTGCTGCTTACAAAATTGCACATCCAAATGATGGTTTTTTTACATTGAAAATTCAAGGAAATGAAAAGAAGAATGCAAAACTGATATTTGAAGATGGACTAAGATCAATAATAAAAGACATAGACGATCTTATTGGGCAAGTAAAGTTGGTTGAGGAGTAAAAAATAATGATGACAGGTCGAAATATTCAAGATAAATCTTGTTAAAAATTTTATGTTAAAGTTTAAAATTATTTATGATATATTTGACAGATTAATACAAGCTTATAATAGATAAAATTAAGCATAAATATTTAAGATACTATTGGTGCTTTTAGGAATGGACCTATTAAATATAATTTTAGTCATCGTTGCTTAGTGTATTTTCTTCATCAGTCTCGCTGTCTTTTAGATAATCTTCAGTCACAATTTCAGGCAAGGCTATCTCGATCATAACCATTCTTGCAACTGGATCGCCTTTCTTTACAAATACCTCCACTGGGCTGTGGACTAAAGCTCGGATTTCTCCTCGAAAATCAGAGTCTACTAATCCGCCAACTGCATACAAATTGAATCCTTCAATGAGTAGAGCACAATAGTTTTTTGGAAATGCAATTCGGACGCCCACAGGGATTGGCGTGACTCTATTTGGAAGTAAATGCTTGTCTTCTGAGGCGAACAGAATGTACTGATTTACTTTATCGTACACGGGAACTTTTACATCCTCAGAGACTTTTTGGACAGAAAGAATAGACATTGGGGGATATAGAATTGTCATTATGTGATATACAGAAATAGCATATTGAAATGGAGAGATGTTTGAACTAAAGAAAGTGTAATCAATACAAAAACAAATTACGTTTATATTAACTAACGTCAGTTCCTGAATAGCCTATAAACTTCCTACAAAACATATACTCTCATATTAACGATGTTAAAATAATTAAAGTTGTATTTGACAGTTGATAATAGTACGAACAGAAGATAGGCTGCATCTAGCATGTTGCAATAGCTTATTTTATTGACTTTTCTTAGTTGCTTGTGACCTCAATCATTTCCGGAAACTTCTTTGAAAATTTCAGAACTCTGTTGTAAATGGATGAATGGTCTCTAAACAGGGAGAAGTTCTGACAGACCAGTCCACTACTTCTGAAATCATGGCCCTTGTTAATCATTTCAACTGTGTTCTTCAACAAAAAGTTGGCTAATCCAGCACAATAATCCTTATTAGTAGCTGCAAGGACGTCATTTTGATGCTCTAAGAATTGTAAAATCAAATTCAAAGCAAAATACAAGCATGTGGCGATTGCTAATATCTTTGATAGAACTTCGGATGTTGCTTTCAAGTTGTAATTCTTTCTGTCACTGTAAAAATGGTAATTTAAGAGAATGAATATAAGGAACATCACAGGTAATACGATAGACAATCTTATCAAGTATGGGCTGTGATATTGCATCATTTGATACCTAAATGCACCAATCAGGTCTTCCGGTGTATGGTTTAGCAGATCAGAGGAGAAAATGAGTAGCCTAAATGGTTTAAAATATGGCCTTATTGCGCCTATGTAATTCATTGGATTGGTGAAATGTAACATAATTACGCTATAGGGATTGAACTCATGCTCAGTGAAGAACTTTTCAAACTTCTCTTTAGTTTTAGTACTCTCAGATGTGAATATTGATAGGAAAGGCGTCATTTTAGTACATGTATTAAACAAAAAAGGCAGTAGGAAACAGAGACAATCAATACACAAAATACAAACTACTGCTCTTACAAAGACTTTCCAAAGAGGATACTCCTTTGGTGTTGCTAAATTATATGCAAGTGATATGGCTATTCCAATAGACATTATCAGCAATGCCACTAAGACCCACATGCTAGTGCTCTCAAGCTTAGAGGTGATGCTCGGGTGGAGTTTAAGGCTAAGTGTGCATCCAATCAAGAATGCAGACAGCATTCTTTCAATGTAGTGCTTCATATCATTAGAATCAACCATTGTGTTGATAACTGACTGTATTTTGGGATGGAAGACATGGACTAAAAGTAAAATCAATTGTGGTGCAATAAAAGATAATCCAAAGGTGATAAGTCTTTTTGTAAGACTTTCATTAAGTAAAATTCCACCGGTTCCATTTCTATTTATAGAAAATGCATACTTCATCATTTGACTGTCGTTAACAGCTATTGAAATGTTTGATGGTGCAAAATATCTAAAATAGGCCTCATCCAATACAAATGCAGCTAATGAAATTGCAATGCTTACTACTGCAAAAATAGAGAAATTCAATCTATTGATTATCTCTGCCAACTTTACGAAAAACAGGCCAATAGCCCTTGGAAAAAGCAGGTTTAACTGCACTAATCGACAGAAAAGGGCATTCTCCTGCATTTTATTTGGTTCTTCAATGATTTTCTCTAACTTCCCTGTTTTACTTACTTCGGACACTGTCTTTTTGGTTTCTGTTTGATTTATTTCAGTTATTTCCTCAATCCTCTCTGTTTGATTGTCTTGCAATATTCTTCGAGTTTGTTTCTTCTCTAACACCCTCTTTGATCTTTCCGTTTGGCTTTCTATCATTATGGGTAAAAAAAGGAGAGAAAAATATGAAAAATTCTTGTGTGGTTGCACAGTTAATTTTATTCAAATCACATTTTTGACTAAAATGACAATCAAACATTTTAGAATTCTTTTTCTAGGTTTGTTATAATTGTTTATTCAAAGTCTATTTAATAGATTGTGTTAATTTATGGAATCTACCCTTTTACAATAATTTCATTCACAAAACTTTAAAGAAATCAAGTAACACATCAATATGTCAATAAATTTAATCATTCCAACACTAGCGTTGACAAAATATGATGTTCTCGATTTTCAATGAGTTTTATTTATTTTCATCCTTTTGTATTGAAATTGCCTTTCTCCAATCTTTGCACACTTGCTCAAGATTATCCTCCGCCCATTTCAGTGATGTAAACATATCAACATTTCTTCGGTTCATTTCATGGTTCTTTTTTCTTTCCTCTTTTGTCAACTTCAATCCTTGCTCAAGGGCCTCGGCTATCTCCTCAGTATTGCTTGGATTGTGCTCAATACATCCTTGAAGTGTAGCAGATGCACCTGCAAACTGGCTTAAAATAACTAATCCGTGATTTTCATCTTGGCAGGCTACATACTCCAGTGCTACCAAGTTCATTCCATCAGCCATAGACGTTATAAGTATCATATCACTGACCGAGTATATTGCACAAAGTTCATTAAGGCTAACACTATTGAAGAGAAAGTGAACTGGTGTAGATTCAATAGAACCTATCATCCCATTTGTTTTAGAAACAATTTCAGACATCTTTGTGGTGTAGGAAGCATACTCTTTGACGTCTTGTCTGCTGGGTATTGCTATTTGTAAAAGCACTACCTTATCAATCAAATCTGGATTCCTTGCTAAAAGTCGTTGGAATCCCTTCATTTTATATGGCAAACCCTTAATATAGTCTGTTCTGTCTACACCCAGAATAATTCTCTTGCCTGCAAATCTTTTTTTGAATTCTTTAATTTTTTTGATTGTCTCCTCTTCCTTTAGACAATTTCTAAATAGTTCAGGATCTATGCCGATGGGAATGGCTCTAATTTTGTTGCCTACGTCAATGCCTTCACGCTCTGCTGCCTCTCTAAAATTGAGTGCATAGTCGGGCACATGAAATCCCATTACATCGCATTGGCTGATACTTTGGATGATTTCTTTTCTGCACATCAAAGGAGAAAGCAGATCAAATTCACAAAATGCAGTATGTAGGAAGAACATAATCTTGAGAGAAGGCTTCTCCCTTCTGAGAATTTCAGGTACTAACATAAGATGATAGTCGTGTACCCAAATAATATCGTCATCGTCTGATGATTCTAGAATCTTTTTGGCAAATATACTGTTGTATTTTTTATAAGCTTCATAATCTGAAAAATCGAAACATACGTCATCTGGAAATGAATGTATGGTAGGCCAGAGAATTGCATTACAGAAACCATTGTAACACCTATCATTTGTCTCTGGAGAGATAAACACAGGGACTGAGTGAAACTTTTCCCAGCAGTCTTTGGTGATTGTAGCTTTATTTTCCTCAGTTAAGGGTATTCCACTAATATTCCCCATCCACACAAAAGATATGTGCTTTGATAAGCCCTCAATGCCTGTTACTAGTCCTCCTGATGTTTTCTTGTACTTGAATCCATTGTCATCTTCGCTTACTGTGATGGGCAATCTATTACTTACAACAATCAGTTTCATGTCAGGGGTAATGTTCCGAATTTTACTTAAATTATTAACCAGCAAAAAAACAATAAATCCACCAATAAGAATACGACGTATTCAAATATGAAAAGATGGAAAGAGATGGAAAGCTTTTGATTTTTAAACATCAAAGTTGTCAAAATAGAGTTAATCCCACTACATCGTTTTGTAGTTAAATTCACTTTATGCCTTTACATTTAAAACTCTGTTGTTGTTTTCAAAATATTCAAGCTCTCTTTCAGTTTATTGTCAAATCAATTTCTAATTTAAATTGAACAAATGTACTTTAAAATGGTAAGTTTGGGCTATTTTCAATTTATTCTATTAGAATTTCCTCTTCTTGTTTGCCAATCATCCAGTTAGTTGAAATATTGTAAGATTGTAGAATTTCCATATTTCCCTCTTCAACAATTCCTATTTGAATATTGTTTGTTGAACGACAGTCTTTGTAACAAAGAATTCTAAAACACTCTTCCATTAATTTTATTGCATCTTCCTTTTCAAGATTATCCAAGTCTCTTTCCCTGAGAATAGGTAAAACAAAATTGGATGAAAAACTAACTGCAGCAGAGTCTTCAAACCAGAAGTTGCCTTTGGAATTTACAACACCTAGCATTCTCCCTTTGTTGTCTGTGCTTTCAAAAATCTCGTTCTTTTTCTGATTTATTCCACAGACAATTGCAGAAACATTCATTGGTGCTGCTTCACTTCTCTTCTGATAGAGAATTCTCTGAATCATTTTATGAATGCCCTGTGGATCCAGCTTTCTTCCTACGTCTGATTCTATTTCTTGCTTGATAAATTTTCTTAGAAATTGGACATCACTCAAAAGTCCTGAAAATACGATAATGCAATTATCTGTCGCTTTGAAGACACTCTGCATTCCGTAAACCACTTTCATACCGTAGGACGCGCCGGTATCAACAGCGGCAATAACTCCATTCTTATATTTGAATCCAATTGCATTAATCCCAAAGACGCCTCTTTGCATGGAAGGGTTAATGTTGTGTTTAAAACAAGAACAACATAACCATATTCCATTAACTAGCTGTCCTTGTTTTAATTCATTCTTGGATACGTTTTCAATATGGCAGGTTCTTCTCAAGGCTTGGTTGTTGTTTATTGAAATGCAATACAGAATGCAGCGACCTTGGTTCAAAACGTATCAAACTGGTGTATTTTATTGTCATTTACCCATTTGCAAATTAATTAACCTTGTTATTTACTGTATATTTATACATGAAAAATAGACTATTTAGGTATATATTTTTGACGTCAATTGCAAGGTGGTATATTTAAAAGCTTTATACAAAGCTATATTGGCATTCTAGGACATTCAACAGCTTTTATTATTGTATATTTCCTTTATTTTATAAGTTGATATTCATTTTATATTTGTTGGTTATTTACATTCACATTGTATCAATAAAAATCTTTTGATTTGAAGTCTAATTTTATTACTTGATTGATTCATTATACTTGAAACGCGTTTCTGCATTACCAAATAAAATTTTTTCATTCTTTTTTAAATATTTGTTGATACTTTCTCCTATGAATTTAAAGCAATACAGAAAAGAATACAAGGAGTCAATAACCAATACTGAGAAGTTCTGGAGTAAAAAGGCAACAAAAATACTGTCATGGTCCAAGCCTTTTACTAAAATTCATAACAAAAAATTTGGTTCTGACAAGTGGTTTGAGGACGGAAAGCTAAACGCTTGTTACAACTGTATAGACAGGTGGGTATCTGTGTTTCCAGACAAGATGGCTTTGATTTTTGATTCAAACGATGGTGAATCTACCAAATTTACATACAAGCAAACCCTTGAAAGAGTTTGTGAAATTTCCAATCAATTAAAACATCTAAAGAAAGGCGACTGTGTAACTTTGTATTTACCCATGGGTCCTGAAGCTGTATTCTGTGCATTGGCTTGTGCAAGACTAGGTTTAACTCACAATGCAGTATTCGGTGGGTTTTCACCTGACAGTTTGAGACTAAGAATAGATGACAGTAAGTCGAAAATGTTGATAACTCAAGACTTTGCTATGCGTGGAGAAAAAAGAATCAATTTTTTAGAGAACGTAGTGAAAGCTGTTCAAAATTTAAACATTGAGGGTATAGTATTTGACAAACACTGTGAAGAGACTTCTGATGCTCTTCAGTGGTATAACACTCTCAAAAACTTTAAGAAATGGTCTCAACTTGAACATTGCAAGGATTTTGTGCCTTGTTTGAATGTAGAAGCTGAGCATTCGTTATTTTGTCTTTACACCTCAGGTTCTACAGGCATGCCCAAGGGTCTTATACATTCCACTGGTGGATACTTGCTATATGCTGCTTACACCCTAAAAACCGCCTTTGACATTCGAGAAAACGATATCTTTTGTTGCACAGCTGATATAGGATGGATTACTGGTCATAGCTATTGTATTTACGGTCCTCTCTGTTTAGGTATTACTTCCGTTATAGTTGAAGGTGTTCCAACTTATCCTACCTATTATCGATTTTTCGATATTGTACATAAATATAAACTAACTCAACTTTATACTGCACCAACCGCAGTCAGACTATTGAAGAAATACTTTGATACAAATCCACTTGATACATCTTCATATGATCTCACTTCACTTAGGTGTCTAGGCTCAGTCGGAGAGCCAATCAACAAGGAAGCTCACAAATTTTTCTCCGAAAGTTTTGGTAACTTGCACATAGTTGATACGTATTGGCAAACTGAGACTGGTGGATTTTTGATCGCACCAATTGTTGGAGTGAAGAAGGTAAAACCCGAGTGTGCATCTTTACCTATGCCTGGCATTGTTCCTATAATCACTTGTGATGGTTCAATTGCTCCTACTGCTACCTTGAAAGCTGTGCTTATGAACAAAGTAAATGAACTAGGCCAAATTTATATTACTAGGTCTTGGCCAGGCATTGCAAGAGGAATTCTTAACAACAGAAAGCGCTATGAAACTGCATATTTTTCAACACCTTTTTATTTCACTGGCGATGAAGGTCTTATAGATCAAGATGGTGATTTTTGGATTCGTGGAAGAGCTGATGATGTTATAAACGTGTCAGGGCATAGAATTAGTACAGCTGAAGTTGAGAGTGTAGCATGTACCAATGAAAATGTCGCTGAAGCAGCTGTTGTTTCTGTTTCTCATGAAATTAAAGGCCAATCTATGATCCTTTTTGTTGTTTTGAAGAAAGATGATCCAGATTACGAAAACAGCGTGAAAGAAACGGTTGCAACATCGATTGGTGGGTTTTGCAGACCTGATAAGGTGATTGAATGCCCAGGAATTCCTAAAACTGCCACGGGTAAAATTATGAGAAGAGTTTTGAGAAGTTTGTTAACGAATTCAGAGATAGGAGATCTGTCTACCTGCATCAATATTGAATCAATTGAGAAGCTTAAACAAATTATGTTGAGCGCAGCGGTTGTTAAGCAGATTGATTAAACCTTTTTCGCATAAAAAGCATATACCACTCATTATTTTCTAATACACTGCGCCATTTACTATTTTTAATCAGAAAAATAATGCTATTCAACTGATTTAATAACTTAAAATTGAATAATATATTACATTATTACAGCCCTTAGTTGCTAAAATACTATACATTTTTAACTGTATCCAATTATTTAATTCCTTGGAGTATTAATGTTCATCTTAACTTTTCCCTTCATGTCAAAATATCCCATTTCTAATCTCTTCATATATTTAGCTCTAATGGATGCTCTGCCATTCTTTGCCTTTGGTTTTATCTTCTTTGGGCAAACAGGTGTGTGGCTTCTAACTTTACCAGCTCTGTTAATTGAGATTGCTGTAGGCATATGGGTAAAAATTTTCAAACAAATTTAAAAGGAAGAAAATATCTAGTAAGCTAATACAATACAGTGCATTTTTGCTTTGTGTTGTTAATAATCTAATTGATTGAATTAAACTATAAGTTTGTAGTAGTGTGCATTGACAATCATTAACATTTGAAACATACAAAAAAACACATTCGTAAAACAAACAAATGACAAACTATACAATAATAGAACAGATTCTTAAAGATCTAGATCTAAATGATGTAAGGGAGTCAGAACAGGCATATATTTACTCTGTTTCTGGACCTGTTGTCGTAGGATGCAATATGGCTGGATGTGCGATGTATGAATTGGTTAAAGTTGGATCATCAAGACTACTTGGAGAAATAATCAAAATAGATTATGATAGAGCAACCATTCAGGTTTATGAAGAAACCTCTGGTCTCTCTGTGGGTGATGTTATCTATAGAACTAAAAGACCATTATGTGCTGAACTCGGGCCAGGTATCTTTGAAAATATTTATGATGGAATACAAAGACCGTTAAGAGATATTTCACAAAAACTCTAAATCCATATTTATTCCTAGAGGAATTGATATGCAAGCTCTGGATAAGAAAAAAGTATACTATTTTAAGCGTGCGGATAATTTGGATAAAGTATTTCCAGGCGATGTACTTGGATTTGTGGAAGAAAATAGTTTGATTACTTTAAAAATTCTTGTGCCTCCACACATATCTGGAAGAGTGCTATATTTTGCAGAATCAGGTGAATATACACTTGAGGATGTGATTTGTGAAGTAGAAACAAATAAAGGATTGGAAAAGGTATATATGTATCACAACTGGCCCGTTAGAATTCCAAGACCAATCAAAGAAAAACTTTCTCCAGAAAATCAGCTCTATACTGGGCTTAGAGTATTAGATTCACTATTTCCTTGTGTTCAGGGCGGCACGACTGCTATTCCAGGTGCATTCGGGTGTGGTAAAACTGTAATATCTCAGTCGCTATCAAAATATTCAAATTCTGACGTTATTGTTTATGTTGGTTGTGGAGAACGAGGGAATGAAATGAGTGAAGTTTTGATGGATTTTCCGAAGTTAAAATTGGAAGGTAGTGGTGAAAGCATCATGAAAAGGACTGTTCTTATTGCAAATACTTCAAATATGCCAGTTGCAGCGAGAGAAGCATCGATATACACGGGTATAACACTTTCGGAGTATTTTAGGGATCAGGGAATGAATGTGTCAATGATGGCAGATTCAAGTTCTCGTTGGGCAGAGGCTCTAAGAGAAATTTCGGGTCGACTAGCCGAGATGCCAGCAGACTGTGGATATCCAGCATATCTTGGAGCTAGACTTTCGCTATTTTATGAAAGAGCTGGTCATGTACAGTGTTTAGGAAATCCAAACAGAAAAGGATCTGTGAGTATAATTGGTGCAGTGTCACCGCCAGGAGGTGATTTTTCTGATCCGATTACTACCGCAACGCTTGGAATAGTACAGGTATTCTGGGGACTTGATAAAAAGCTTGCACAGAGAAAGCATTTTCCTTCAATCGATATAAATGTTAGTTATTCTAAATACCTAACACAACTATGGCAAAAAGAATCGAAAGATGATCAAGAATATACAAAAAGTGTTGTGAAAACCAGAGAAATTTTACAATTTGAAAAGGATATAGAAGAGATTGTTCAGCTTATTGGAAGAAACACGCTTTCAGAATATGAAAAAATGGTACTTGATGTTTCCAAGATGATAAGAGAAGATTTTTTACAACAAAACAGTTATTCAAGTCATGATAAATACTGTCCGATTAGTAAAACAAAACAAATGTTGAAAAATATTATTTTATTTTATGAAAAATGCACTGATTTCTTACAATCAAACCTCAAATCATGGGAGGAACTCAAAAAAGATGTATCTGGTATATATTATGATCTAGTACAAATGAAGTTTATTGCAGTTAATGAAGAAATGCTGAGTAATCTTGCATCAATACAAAACAAAATACTGGAATATTTTAAATAAAAATGTGTGTTTGATAACAGTATTTTTCATACTATTAAAGTATATCAATACTTTGTTATTATAAATATAATAGTAATATTATGGTATTGTTTTTATTCGAACTTCTCATCGCCCTTCAAATGCGAGCTTGTGTACTTGGTGGAGGTCCATCAGGAATATTCGTCTCTGAGTATTTGAACAATCGTGGAATTGCTGTTGAGTTATTTGAAAAAAGTAATACGTTATTGGGAAACTACAAATATGCTAGAAACAAAATTGATCTTCTCAAGAATTTGAATGCAACTGTTCATTTGAATTCAGATGAAAACGCCATCGATGATTCAAAATGTGATATTTATGTTATTGCAACTGGTGGAAAGCAGAAAGAATTGGATATAGAAGGAAGTAAATATACTTTGAAAGCCATGGATGTCATTAAGAATTATTATAATGATGATGCTATTAATGATAAAAGAATTAAGTCTTTGTTGAATAATAATGATTCAAATGTGTGCATTATTGGGATGGGAAATGTGGCCTTAGATTTGGCATATTATCTAAAAGATAAGGTCAGTTCAATAACAATTTTAAGCAGAGGTGATCTTTCTAAAGCCACATTTGATAATCATGTAATGAGAGAAATTATAAACTCAAATATTTTTGAAATTAATATTATTGGTAATTTTGAAAAAGCTGGTGATAGAAAAACACAAAAAAGATGTGAAATGCTAAGGAATACAGACTCAAAGATCAGAAAGCTGGTGGCTTTTTTACAAAGAATGTTTTTTGGTGTATCTAATCCACAGTTAAATTTAATTTTTAATACATACCCACAAAGTATTAAAAAAAATGGAGATCAAGTGGAAGTATGTTATTCTGTTAATAATGAATTGAAGAAATCTGTGTTTGATGCTGCTATCAGCAGCATTGGTTTTATACCCAACTTACCAATCATAAAAACTGCTAAGCCTATGTACTATACTGGTTGGTGTGTAAATTCAAAGGGAAACATTGGAGATGCAATGGTAAATGCTAGAACCACAGTTGACAATATCATAAAGGCCAATAGTGTCATTGTTTGAGTAAGTTAGGCATTCCTATCATGTTGTGGCTTACATATTATTATATTTATACTAATAAGCTAGGAAAGTTGAATTTTTTTAGTCTTGAATTTGAGAAACTCTTTTAATCCACTACCAAATTTACGTGTATCCTGTAACAATACATAATTCATGAGTACTGTTATGATGAGAATGTCACTGAAAAGATACATGAGTACAGCTTTAGATTTTGGATGTCCTTCTTTCGATATAGTTGTAAGTGAATACCAAACCATAACGCCTATTGCCACTGGTATTTTCAGAAATGATAGAGATATGGCAATTTTGCGCTGAGTTCTTGATTCCTGATTGAAGCTTACAGATATAAATAGTTGCTGGACAAAGGTAAGAATAGTAAAGCCAAATGCTAGAGAGCTTACCGGTAAA